TCAAATTACTATTGAGAGGCAGGCCATGAAACTAGGTGAGCACTTCCCTCACCTCAGTAGTCACCTCTCTCAGAGAATAAACTTTAAGGGGATCCAGCACAGAACCCAGCACTCAAGCACCTCCTTTGGGAAATTACTTTGGCATGTTTTTATTGATTGTTATCTCTGGAAGGACACCAAGATCCAGGCCCACAACACTCTGATCATCCCCACTCCCCTCAATGGATATGGAACATGGGTAACTGGCTGTTGTCATCTCAAGAGCCTGGAGAGGTGTCACCAATGATGCTTCCAGAAAATCCTCAGCATCAAATGGGAAAATCACTAGATAAATTCCAACATCTTTGCTCAATCCAGTGTTACCAGCATTGAGTCAGTGATCCTCAAACACCAACTTCACTGGTCTGGACATTGTGTGCAGATGTCTGACTCTCAACTCCCAAAACAGGTACTCTGCTCCCAGCTTAGTTGCAGCCTGAGATCTCTCAGCAGTCAGAGGAAATGCTGCAAGGTCACCAGTGTGTAGCAGGGGGGGGCAAGCAGGGTGACCACTCCAGGCATTGAAGTGAAGGGCCTGCAACAGGTGCTGCCCAGATGGGGCAGGGCATGGGACAGAGGCATGTGTGGCTCATTTGGGGGGCACAGGGATGGGAGAAGGGTGGCTCCTGCCACTGCATGCATTCCCAGGCAAGCATGGGTGGGGGCAGGGTTGCCCCCTGGATCTGTGCATGGAGCGAGGGCAGGCTGCCATTGTGGGCTTTGCCTTGGGTGCTAAGCTTCCTTGCCATGGTACTGAACGGCACATTGAAGTCATACCTCAAAAAAAATGGATGCTAACATCAAAATCTGGAAGAAGCTGGCTGCTATCTGATCTCAGGGCACCACAACTTCAACCAAGTGGTAGCCTGCTTTGAGGTAAAGCATCTTGCTCTCAAAGCAGAGAACAGAGAGTGGAGGAAAGAAAAGACAAGAAATTGCAGCCTACAGTGTATTCTCCCCCATGGAAAGACCTGAAACTTCTGTAGATGAATCTGTGGCTCAAAGACTGGACTCTTAAGTCACTCCAAGACTCATTGAGGAGCTGTGAGTAGATATCACCCTTGAACTGAGAGACGTGCAGTTGCCTCTGGTAGTTGGATGCTGGTGAAGGAAAAATAATTGTTATTTTCATATATAGCATTTTAACCATAGTTCAGAGCAGTTAGATGTTGTTGGCTAGAAACATCACTAAATAGCAACAAGTTTTAGTTAAAAGCAGAATGAAATTCTCTTGGAGTTCTTTCCTTAGGAAGAAGAATAATGACCTATGATCTTTTTTTCTTAGGGTTTCTATGGTAAAATCCATCCCTGTACATCCTCCATATCAAATCTAAGTACTGGATAGGACATTTGGGGAGGGCATGCTGGCAAAGTGGCTAAATCAAATGCTGCATCACAGTCCCAGAAGTATGATTTTGAACTTTGCTATGGTTTTATGACAAAGCTCATCCCTAGCTAGCCTAGCTGTGATTGGGTACCTAGCCATAATTTTTGGAAACCAAAGGCAATTGCATGTGATACTGGCCACATCACTCCCCCTTGTAATTTTGGTTACAGACACAAGACTTCCTTAACCACACTTGGCTTATGGGCTGCTAAGGCAGCAGATGGAGTGTGGATGAGGGGTACTTTTGCCCAGGATGGATTTCACCCCTGCTGTGCATGGCCTATACAGTAGAAAAATAGATTTTTCTTTCTATTCTTGAATGTCCAAACTTAATATGGCCTGAAATAATAGGTCACTTAATACAAATGATATATGGCATGAGTATATGCAAGGCAAACATTTAATAAAAACATAATCATACAAGTAAAACTTTGACAGAATATTTGGTTAAAACAATACATGTTATTTTTATGTTTCAGTCTTTAATCAGGACTCCTCTCTGGAAACAACATAAACTTCGGCTTAAAACCAGGTGACTTCATATGGTCATTTTTTACTTCTTCTCATAGGAAAAATTGATACAATTCATTCATTCATCTTATTAGAAGAAATTATAGATCATATCTAATCTAACCTTGATGATATGTTATGGATAAAGTTATTGATAATACCTGAGTTGAAGCACCTGGATATTTGAAATCACTTGGCTTAGGAAACATATTAAAGTTCAGAAGGCCTTATTCAAGCAGATGTTTTCCAGGACTGTCTTAATGGTAATGTATCCCAATATTTTTAAAATTTACTGGACAATCTATCATTTGGCTGTAAACCATTAATCTTTGCTATAGAGCTATACTTTATACACAAAATATATTGACAGGTTGGATTATATCACCTTCTTTTACACAAGTGCTAGTTTAAATTAATTAAGAATAAAGATGAGATTTTAAATTTTAATAGCAGAGTTGCTTTTCTTTGCTTTGCTTCTTGAAAAAAATCTGCTACTGCACATATGCTGTTTATTCAAGTGGAGCTATGGTTGTGTTGAGTTGTTTTGTTTTTCCAAGGTACTGTATATGGTTATGTGCACCATACATCTGGAATTACAGACTGGCTCCAGTTCATTAAGTCAGAGGAAAATTAATATCTGGATACATAAAAGCAAAGTTGAAGTTTTTAAACCATACAACACTGTATGCTATTAGATGATTTTAGTATCTGTTCTTGATTCTCTGCTTCAGCTGTATGTAGTCTAGCAAGGGTCTAATAATAACAAATGTTATACAAAATTAATCTAATAAAACACTGAAGAAAATTGACCTGAATGTGTACAATTATGAAATAGTGTCCTAAGGAATTTTAATGCTGCTGTAGCAGAGGGGGTTGTAAATGGGCAGTTAGCTCTACACAAGCTTTTTCTTCTCATTGAATACATACCTAGCTAATTATGAGAAGGTTAAAAAAGAATCATATACTTGAACAAAATATAAGGGGGTAAAAGAGAAAAAAGATAGAGTTAAAATAATAAACAATTATAATAATGGCAATTATGGGATCTGAATTAGTCCTTTCTTTCCATTTGATTTTTTAGCTTAATATACTTTCATCATTATCTGTGCAGTTCTTTGAGGAAGATCTCTTGAGTGTTTTGCCCTGCTAATATTTATCGTGGAAGGCCACATGCCTGATCCTAGGAGGACTTTTTTTTTTTAGCCTTCTCATTTTAAAACAAATTACAAATATGGTCATTGCAGGAAAACATTTCCTTTTATGTCTTCTTTATTAAAGGACCTCTCTTATGCATTCTGCATCAGTCTTTATGTAGCAAATCAACCAAATCCAGCGCACCTAAATGTCAATCTGATTGTAAAGAACAAAATCAAGAGAGACTCCTGAGTTGGGGGAGGGAGAACTTCAAACGATATAAAGATAATATTTTTGAAAGACACACTAAGGACATATTTAAATTGACAAGTTTGTAACTGCCACTGTGTTTTTTAGGATTAGTTTGTGAAACTCCTGTTAAAGTTAAATATTTTTTTACCTGGGACTTTTTAAATATTTTGCTCTTTGCTACTAAATATTAATATTCAAGTGCATTTGATTGGGTTGATGTACTGCATTAAGACCCATGAGGAATGTTTAAGCTGACAAAAAGACGCAATACATATTTTACAATACATATTTTATGTGGGATAAAATATATGTATATTTTTATAAGAGTGTGAGTAAGTCTGTAGCAATGTCTTTGAAACCATCTAGTAATTTCTGTTTAATCTTTCTCAGTAATTCTCACAATTTGTAACATCTGACATCTCTTCTACACTTCACAGAAAAGATGTGTCCAACATTTTGACCATTTGTCTGGTTTCAGGTATACTGAGCAGCAAACATGCCTATGCTGGCTGAAAATGCTAACAAACATCCAGACTACTGATGAAATGACTTGTGGTGTTTGTGATTGGCCTCAGTGAGCATCTTTGAGCCAGTGCTGACCAAGTTAATCAGTTTCCATGGAAACTCTTGTTTAGGGACCTAAACTCCCATTGACTTCAATGGGAATTTAGGTTCTTGAATAGGAATTAGGCACTTAAATGTGGTTTTGGATCTGGCTTTTATTCACTGATAGGTGCTACAGAGAATTGAACTTCAGAGCTGAACAAGCAAGGTTTTCCTCAGTAAGAGCACCGTAACTGCTTGGCAACATTTCTCCTACAAATGACTGCACAAGATTCCCACATGATGAGATCTGTTTTCTGATATTTATTATGTAACCTTTGATTTTTGACATCGTTACTTAGATACTACAGTAATGGGGGCATTGGATAAGGCTATAATTAGAATATACATGCTCTTGTAAAAGAGCATCAGAAAGAGATTTGTTAAAAGATTGAATCCCCAGACCATTTTACACTTTAAATATTGTCATTAGCACCTTTGAGTCTGCCAGGGATATGCTGCCAAAATTTCAATGAGGGGCTTCTATGGAACTGTTTTTACCAGTCTCTTGTGTATCAGGAGCATATATTGACAGTAGAAAAGAAGAAAAGAGGCTTGAATGGAGTTTGGGGGCCTAAGGGTGGGGGAGGAGGGGAGAAAGGAGGATGAAGGTAAGCTGTATATTTACTTTTTAGTTACTAAAAAGCATGTTTTTATAACCACAATGGAATGTGGATCAAAACCGCCTGGAAAGCAAATATTATGTATGAGTTGCTGGCACTATACATGTATTGCTTAAACATAAATGCTAATTGTTCAGTGTTCAATCTATCTAATTCAGGAGGGGCTTGGGCAAAGAAGATAAAAGACCTTATAAGTGGTGTCAGTATCTTTCCTTTGTTTTTTTAATATACCTCACATGTTCCAGCATAATAATAGGAAAGAAAGACAGGGGTGATTTAGGAAGGTTTGGGGGTATTTTTGTTTTGTTTTGTTTAATTATATCCTGAAAATGGGGCAAATTCCCTCAGAGACTCTGAAATCATATGGATTCCTCCTGTCCATTTAGTGGAAGTCTAATTAAGGGGCTTTCAGGAGCCTTTGCCATCCCTTTTGCACATAGTACCGAATTCCAGTCAGATCTTAAGAGATAAACAGTAGACACACAGACTAGGTATGTTGCATTTGCCCCAGTCTTGGAGAATAAAAGGCTTTGCGTGTATCTACAAGAATGAGATTAAGAGGTGAACCAGGAGGTCTTACAGGCTAAAACCCAAGAAGCAGCCAGCTCAGAAGAACCTTATGTTTGTATTTTGTTATTAAGACTAAAAGAGAAACCTGGAAAAGTGTTGAGTGTTGAACATTGCGTGTCAAGCGGGGTAGAAACTTTATGTACCTTTGGATTTATGAAAATAAATCCTCATTAAAGTCTTTAATGAATAATCACAAGTCTATGTTATTGCTGTGGACAGATTAGGAATAGCAATAGGCCTGCAGAGTCTCTGAGTACTGACAAATAAAGTCACTCTTCCTCTTTCTTTTACCTGTTACTCTGTAAGAGAAGATCATAGCAGTGGACTTGCCAAACAGTGACCTTCCGGGTTTTTGTTTCAACTGAAGGATGCAGCAACAATGGTGATATAGAACTGAGAGGTAGCCAGGCTAGATGTCATTAGACCTTGATTTTAGATCTCTTACTGCTTCCAATGTTATTTGGCATAAGCTTTAACTTCTCCTTGGCCACATCTACATGGTATGCTTAGTGTGCTAGTAGCTTGTTACTACTGTTCAGTAGCTCGTTATTACTGTACAGTAGCATAGCTGGGCACAAACTGTGATGCGATGCTACTGTTCAGTAGTAATGAGCTACTGTGTAGTAGTAACAAGCTACTGTGCAGTAGGTGTCACTAGGCAACTTGTGCCGGGATGCAACTGTGCAATAATGGCGGTTACTGCATGGTACTTGGTTATGTACTTGGTACTTGGTTATGCAGGCGTTTAGTATTTGCATAGCCAAATACTAAATGATTGTGCAGTAGCAACTGCACAGTTAGTGTCTCATGTAGCTGTGCTTCCTGTGATGCAGTTTCACCACCTAAGAAAAGAGAATAATGTTATTTTATCTACATCTGTGAAGCACTCTGATCCTTGAGTGAAAGGTACGGTATAATTGGAAGGTAGGTATGATCATTTATTATACCAGTCTCTGGCGGGCTGGTCATGGCTGTGGTGGGATACAGCCAGGAAACGACAAAGGCTGGAATGAAGATGGTCTCTAGAACAGAAAAAAAAGGTAAATGGAGCTTTCCTTTCTCTCCAAATAGTTGAACCTGTCCCAACATAAATATCATTCCTACTGCCCAATCCTGATAGAACAAAAAGGTAGCTAGAGAATCTCAATGCACCACATTAACCATAAAAGTACAAGGAAAAGACAAAAGTGAACATTTGCAATATAGTAATCGTAAGCATTAAAACAACTCTTCTGTGATTTACCAATTCACTTGAAGTGTAAGAATCCCATCACACCACAATGAGCTATTTCTGAACTATCCTGCAATAAAATGTAAAGTCATTGTAAAAATACATCTCAGCAGTTTAATTTGATAATGCATATGTATGGGTTCATTCTTGTTTTTATAAATACTGTACTGTTTTGATAGCTTTTCAGACACAACTGTGTAATAATTGCATGTCTAGGATGGTTGAAAACATGAGGCAAATACAATCTAAATAAGTTTTCCAAGGAATAATTGTACACTCTGTCATGTCTGATTGCTTAAGTGGTATACAAAGAAAGAACACTAAACTAAATAAATTATATACAATGGAAGGAAGCAGATTTTATTTAATTAAATAATAGCATTATTAAAGTTAATTCAATTTATTTACTTCTTTATATAGTGTATGTATTAGGGGTGTGCGAAACGAGCCATATTTGATTCAGATTTGCATTCAGCCTGAATCGGTGATAATGATTCAATTTATTGATTCAGATCACTTTCTTGATTTGATTCAGCCATTTCCAAATCTTAAGATTCGATGCTGATTCAAAGAATCAGTGATTTGGCCATAGACACAGCTTTAAATATTTTT